CTGCTCAGGCATGGCAGGCTGTGCTTCCCTCCATCCAGACCGACTGCCTGCCTGCCCGACTGCCTTCCTCCTCGGCTAGTGCTGCCCCGCATCACTCACTCAACGGTGGCGGCGGCTCCTTCCTGGCCCAAATGAAGTGCACCAGGCGTACAAGACGACCCCCCCACTTGGAGGCATGTTTTTTGGGCCCAAAAAGTCATCTTGTATGGCAGCAAATACGGTAGTTCATGTGGAAACTAATGCTTTGACTTACAAACTGCCCCTCGCCCTAAGAACCAAAAATAGCAGGAACAGGTTAATGGGTTTTCAATGTATTCCTATGGGAAATGCTGATTCGAGTTACAAACTTTTCGAGTTACAAACGTCCTTCTGGAACAGATTAAGTTCGTAAGTCGAGGGTTGACTGTACAGTACATACAATACATTAAGTACTACAATGGAAGGGCAGAATATCCAGAAAATACAGTGGTCAGATTACTGTGAATAGATGTTGGTAAAAGGGAAATGGTATAACTCAACAGTGGCAGATTGCCATTGATTAACAAGGCCCCACTTGGATTCCTGGTGACAGACCAAGCCGCTTGACTAGTATACAGTGAGGGTTCCAAGCAGAGACTTGCTAATCAGTGGCAATTTGTTGTTGTGAGTCACACTGTTCTATTTTGCCACCATAACTATGCAACAGGATTTTGGATTGTTTTATAATCAGTGGATTTAATTCAGCCTTAATCATCCATAGAGCTGATATAGTTAATCAATAGGCATTTAGCTGCAACTAACTTAATTTTGGTAGGTATTGTTCAGAGCATAGCTTAAAACTGGATTCAACCTAGAAGAGTATCTTGGATGTTCTGATATTGAAATTACAATACAAAGAAAAAGGTAATTGAAAGACTGTTTTCTTTAATATGAGTGCAATTTAGTACTTTGGCCTTCATCCTAAGTCCCGGCCTTCGAAGTAGACATGTGTTTAGTCAGGTGCAGAAGGATCTTTTATCTTGTCTCAAATTACTGGAATGTTCTTCTGTAGGAAATTTTAGATTCTATCTATATGCTGTGCTAAAAAGCTGGAAAACTTCCTATGGAGCAGAGGTTGTGTGTTCAGTTCCCCACTGTGCATCCCAGAAGAGCTAGCCTTGGGTAAGCTACACAATACCAGGATGCCCTCTGAAGAAGGGAATGATAAAGCACTTCTGAGTAATGTCTGCCTAGAAGGATCGCTATAGCTCAATGGCACACAATTATTGTAGATTCTATCCTTGCAGAGATCTCAAATTTAAATCCTTTGTGAAATGAGCAAATATCCTGACACCAGGGAGGATATAGGGTATTATATGGTATAAAATGGCCACATGTAAAGGAACATTTGTGTATATGGAAAATCAAGAGGGTTCTACTCAAGCATCCTAAGACAAAAGGGGAATAAAAGTGAAGTAAAATAAAACGGCCTCTTTGTGTTGTAGGGTGTTTTTGTTTTTCCAAGTGGGAACAGCTTACTTACACTCAGAGTGTTTTGCTTACGCCCAATGTTCCCTCTTAAGCATCTGTCCCACTGCATGGGAGCCTTGCTTGTTGTGCATGGGAGTGGGTGAGGCTTAATTCAAAACAGAAGTAAACTGGTTGCCCATGCGCAACGCTAGTGGAACTCTGGGCAAAGTACTAAGCGTAGAACATAGCTGAGTTCTTGGAAGTGTGGCATATGCTTATACACCAAAAGAAGAAAAGGCACAGACTGGACCCTAGAACTGAACAGACTATTTTGTTTGGCTATGCTTCTGTCAGCAAAGGATATAAAAAAAGACAACATAAGATGCTCCATAGTCAACTGCCAGATGCTCACCATGTCCCAATAAATGGTACCAGCTCTTCCCCATCCTATCTTGCAAGATGGTTGCAGCTAAACAAGCCAGTGATCTGGAAGAAGACTGAGTAGATGCTGGCAGCTGAACCTGCTACAGGGAGAAATAAAAGCTGCAACAGAAGAGATAGAAGCACAAGAATGAGAAGTAGACACTGACTGAGCTACCACCAGACAAGAAAGCCATTGGATGCAAATGGGTATTCAGCTGAAGCAAGGTGCAGATGGAGAAGTGCAGTGCTTACAAGACAAGACTACTGTAGTTGCAGAGGGGTTCCTATAGAAATATCAAGAAGACTTCAGTGAAACCTTTGCTTCTGTTAAGCACAGCACACAAGAGTGTAGCAGCCTCCAGAAAGAAGAAAAGCATCTAGATGTCAAGACTGCATTTCTACACTGAGATATTGCAGAGGAGCAGTATATATGTAGCAGCCACTGGGCTTGATGAGCCAGAAACATCCTGATTTTGTATATAAATATAAAGAAAGATCTGTATGGATGAAGCAAGCTGCTCAGGTCTGGAATGAAAAACTGAAGATATTACTGCAACAAAGTTTCAAACAAAGTGATGCAGATCAATGCTTATATACCAGAAGCAGAAATGGGCATTTAACCTGTGTCCTTGCATATATAGATGACTTAATTGTAGCTTCTTAAGGGAACAGGAGTATAAAGAGATTCTACACCATCTTTAAAAAGATGTAGAAATTAGAGTTAATACAACATTATTTGGCATTCAAATTGAATGGGATGCAGATAGATCATATTTGTTAAATCAGAAACAAAAGATACTTGAGCTTCTTGGTGACATTAGGCTTCCAAGATGCCTACTGTGAAACAACACCCATGAAAACAGATTTTCCTTTTTTAAAAAGGAAGAAAATGAGCTTCTTTCATTTAACAGTAAAAACAAATGCTATAGGAAAGCTTTTATATTTCACAACCACTACCAGACCAGTTATAGCTACCACTGTAGGAATGCTGAATCAGAACAGTTAGTTCACCAACAGAGTGATTGGACAGCTGTGAGTCATTGAGACTGTAAGTGCCAGTTAATGAGAAAGGGGTGGACTATCTGGGGAACTTGTAGCTTCCTCTGTGAGTCTCTACTCCTACTGCACAGCAAAGGAATTTTACCCAAAGGTCAAAAACTCTGTAACACTGTTGACCTTACGAGGGCTGGCATGGTTCACAAGTTGCAAATCCTCTTTGGAGATTTCATTACATTAATAAGGTTTCTCATATGTCTGGTCCATTACCTGCCAATAACATCAACTGCAGTTTTTAAAAAAATACTTAAAATACTTAATACTTTCAAGCAAAGTTTACCATAACAATACTTTCCCCACTTTTAATTAGAACAGATGTTCTCTTAATGCAGAAATAATTTTTTCAGTCTTTTATTTAACCACTTGGGAGACTACCAGGACTTTCCTCCAGATGAATGAGTGGACCCCAAAGGAAGGAAATACTGATTTATCTGTTGTTGTTGTTGTTGTTGTTGTTTTTAAACCAGCTTGCTTGATTCTGTGCTACCTGTATTGCCAACCAGAAGTACTGGGCGTGTGGAAGTCTTTCCCTATTTGTCTTCCATAGAAATAAAGTAGGCTGTGAGTGGTGTGGTCACCACTGCATATGCTTCCTATGCCAGCCTTTTTTACTCAAGTGGTGATTGAGTCACAAATAGAGTAGATGGATTGAATATTGGAACATATGGAGGAGTTGACTCACAACACCCCCCTCCCCGATTCAATGGACCAACACTTACTGTATTTTTCTGTGCATAAGACGACACCCACTTTTCTAACCCCAAATTAGAAATTTTGATTGCTTCTTTCCCCCTCCACTTCCTAAGCCCCGCTAAAGCAGGATCAAAGGGCTGTGGAAGTGGAGGGGGAAAGCAGCCATGAAAGGGCTGCAGGATCACAGCCCTTTGATCCTGCAGGCTTTTCATGGCTACTTTCCCCTGCCACTTCATAAGCCCCTGCAGCGCTTTGATCCCCTTACCCCCTTACGTCCATGTATAAGATGACCCTGAATTTTTAGTCTAAAGATTTTAGATAAAAGTATTGTCTTCTACATGGAAAAATACGGTAATATACTAAGCATGATTTATTCCATTGTATCATTGATTATACAGTAAATAAGAAGCAGTAAGTAAGAAATCGTTACATGCCAGAGGTGATGCAGAAATTTTATATTTAGAGAGCTTGTTCATTTGTGATTTTTTTTAAAGGCCATAACTTGTAAAGTACTTAACTTGGCAGATAATGTTGATTTATCTCCTTATATTTCAGAGTCTTCTTAGCAAAGCTGAAGGAATGGGGTCAAGTTCAGCAAAACTGAGAGGAGGCTCTCTTTTTATGAATGTTGGGAAACTAGTAAAACAAGAATCCGACATGGGGCAAGCTCCCCACGTGAACATTAATCCCTTCACTCCAGACTCCCTCTTCCTTCAGTCTTCAGTTGGACAGTGTCGCAGAAGAAAGAGGACTCACTGGAATGAGTGAGTGTTTGAGCTGGTTCATTATAAACCATTTATGAACTATGGAAGTTATTTATTTTTAAAGTATGTTAATTATTACACTTAGTTCTACCATTCTGCCGAGACTAGAACACAGTGCATCTCACAGTATGATTTTTAAAAATGCAGTAAAATACATTATGAACTGACTGTACATTTTTAAATTGCATTTTGTATATTTTAGCCACATATGTTTTATGAATTGTTTGTATACTTTTAAACTGCATTTTGTATATTTTAGCCATAAATGTTTTATGATCTGGTCCCCCGACTTTAATAAATAAATTCATTCATATATTAAAATGCTGTTAAATGCTGAACAAATAACCAACTTAACAAGAAAGAAAGAAAGAAAGAAAGAAAGAAAGAAAGAAAAGGGAACTGTAGTTAATTGTTTCATCTTGAAGAAGAATGTTACAGTATAATTACACAAGAGTTTCTTTCATGGGAACATGAGTGTCAGAGCTATGTTACAAAATGTGCAATGCTGTTTACAATATTGTTTAAAAAGGGGAAAGCAGATGATAATATTCAGGGCTTTATAAATTGTGGTGTAATCTCATCGGGAACAAGACCCTGGCTTTCAGTTAAATAGAGTGACCCGTTATCAGTTTACTACAGCATGTTTAAGAAAGCAGGAAAATAATCTAGAATGTTTCTATATTGCATGAATATAGTAGAGAGCATTGGCTTAAAACTCAGACAATAGTGTAGAGCCAAGGAGGATTCTGTCCTATTGCTCATTTTTGGCCTTCGTGATATACTTAACTAAGTTCCAAAAAAGGCGGCTTGGGTGCCTTTTATACAGGACTTGTGTAATCTTTCCTATCCTCTACAATTTACATATTTTTGCTACCAGAACTCTAGAATATGTCTTAGAATGGGTGAAAGATGTTGTATGGTGATAACGTTATTGCATCTCCTGAAATTTGTTAAATTCTTATGAAAACAGATGTTTGTGTTTTAATTTACCTTATAAAAGTCAATTAAGATGTTCCAGAATTTCTGCTCTTTATTATTTATATATTTAAATTTCTCAGTTCATGTGGTGAAGACATGGAAGCAAGTGATGGTGAACTTGAGGATGAAACTGTGAGACCTGCCAAGGTAAAATAATAATGATAAATAATCCCTATATCTTACTATGCAAGCATACGTCAGATGCTTTAAAATTCATTGGATTAACTTCCTTGCTTGGAAAAACAAAACACTCAACATTGTCTCTTGATCATTTCAGCGGATTAGCATAACAGAAAGTAATATGAAATCACGATATGCAACAGAATTTCATGAATTGGAGAAAATTGGGTCTGGAGAGTTTGGTTCAGTATTCAAATGTGTTAAAAGGCTTGATGGTTGCATCTATGCAATAAAGCGGTCTAAGAAACCCTTGGCTGGATCAGTTGATGAGTGAGTATTAGTTAAAGTTTAAATGCCTACTACCGCGAGTTCTTTTATTGCATTTCTATATGCATATTGACTTTAAAAATATTATTGTGGAATTGTGAACAGATTTGCTAGTTTGTGTTGTCTTTGCAGCCGGAATTCAGAAGTGTGTAATTCAGCAAAAACAACAACAAAACATCTAATTATACATATTAATTTCTGGTTAAAAAGCACTTGCTCTAGTGATCTGTCACTGTCCAGAACAACTTCAGTCTTTAGCTTAGACTTTAGTGTTTGCTGTTGTAAGTCTAAACTGTTTAGGTTGCAGCCCTGTCCATCTTATGTGATGCAGTTATGTGTGCAGAATCATGGGGAGTCCTTGTCCACTGATGATTTAAAGAAAAATGAAAACAAAGTACCTTAACCTTAAGTCCTTAATTTTTATGATATATGGGGCAGATTTTTGGAATATGTGTTAGCAAGAGGAAAAGGGAAATCTCCAAATCAAGAATCGATACAGTTCTGGAGAAGAGGACTATAATAGAAGAAGAATATAGATGGAGCAAGAAGATGATTATTGCAAGAAGTCCCGACTGGTGGGGGGGGGGAACACAGTTAATTTGTATTTTGGTTTATGTATTTTATGTTTATGTTATAGTTAAATAAAAAAAAGGAAATAAAAAACCTTAAGTCCTAGACTGTATTTGTTGCAACCTCTACATGCATTGCTTTGATAATGCCAGTATGTTAGAGCAACTGAAAGCTTTTGTTTCAATATCACAGGCAAAATGCTCTTCGAGAAGTCTATGCTCATGCAGTGTTGGGACAGCATTCGCATGTAGTCAGATACTTTTCTGCCTGGGCAGAAGATGATCATATGCTTATACAGAATGAGTATTGTAACGGTAAGTAAAGCTTCTATTACGTCTGTCTTAATATGAATTGTAATTAGGGATGTGATGTTTGTGGGGTGTTTTATTGTTTTGTTTTTTAAACTACTATTTTCATAATTTTCCATTCTGGAAGTCCCATCCGTTAGGCAGATCCCTCCAGTTATATAAATGTGGCTTACCTGAGAAAAAGGCGGCTTCCTCTTTGAAGGGGACACTAGACAGAACTAGGCCAGTACTAGGCCACTAAGCTTGGAAGCTTAGGTGTTTCTCTCAAGTGAGCCACATTGAGATGTTGGTAGATGTCTCTATGCCCAGTGACAATCCCAAAATGGAGAATCATGGGATTTGTAGTCCCCCCCCCCCAAAAAAAAAACAAATAGCATGTCCCTAATTGTAGTTTTCATGGAAAGTATTTGTAATGCAAAACAGTTTTCTGAGAGAGGAGGAATCCTAGGGTGACTGCTTTCAACTAAATATAAGTTGTATGGTTTTCACCGTGATATATGTAGGTTTTATGTGACTTGAGATTTCAGCCACAGTTTTTGATGAATTTCATATGAGTATGTTCTAAATTAGGACACAACATGCTGAATAGAAAATGACCACACAACAAAGATACATAAATCATCAATATTATGACATTGTATTCAGAAATCTTTCTTAAATTGGAGGAAGCAGAAAGATAAAAGATTATTCCGGGTATTAAAATTACACTGTAATTCTTCTGAGCTTTAAATTGCTTCTGAAGAGCATTTTAGATGCATAGAGTAAAATATTTAGAATAAAAATGTGTTCAATCTTACTCATACACCCTCAGGGTTTTTTTGTAAAACTGTTTCTGTGGGTCAGAGAGGAAAGTTTAACAGCCATGCATACCTCCAACCAATCTAGTACTGTATATGTAGATCCACTAGAGAGGCCAGTATAATACAGTCTCTAATGTATTTGTTAAATATACATATCTGTCTGTATCTGTGTAGCTAACTATATGGACAGAGGACTAGTTTTTGTAGAATTTTGCAAAGTAAGACAAACTACAAAAGGAAACTACTTTTAAATTATAGATACTTTATACTTTTATTTGTATAATGCTTTTTCCTAAGGCTTGGATGTATTGCTGAGACAACACGTGACAAATCAGTGTTAATATTATACTAGAAATGGAAAAACGGGGGGGGGGATGACTTTCTAGGGCCACATGGCAGACATTTGAACCCGAGATCAGAAAAAAGTCCTTTTGAGTCCGAAACCGCTTCTCTCCTTTTTTATGTTCTGTTGACTGTGAGTGTTCCCATTAATTGTTTGAAGTTGAATAGAATAAATAACCTGTAACACTATATCTAGTTCTAGAGAGCTAGTGTTGGTATAGAGCACTGATGGGCAAACTGTGGCCCTCCAGATGCTTTTAGACCTCAGATGCCTTAAGCCTTAGTTTATTTATTTATTTATTTATTTTATTTATATCCCGCCTATCTGGTCGTGTGAGGACCACTCTAGGCGGCTAACAACATAAAAATAGAACAATAAAATACATATAACCATATTACTTAACAAAAATAAAAAGAAAGAAAAAAAAATTATTAAACAAGATAGGAGAGCTATAGGGTAGGGAAAAATCGTCAGGAATTATCTGTTGGGAAGGCCTGCCTAAACATCCAAGTTTTTAATTGTTTCTTAAAAATACCCAGCGAGGGAGCCGCGCGAATCTCAGGGGGTAAGTCGTTCCAGAGACGAGGAGCCACCGCCGAGAAGGCCCGATTTCTAGTCTTTTCCTTCCGGGCCTCCCTCGGCGTTAGGCTCCTCAGTCTCACCTCCTGGCTCGCACGAGTGACACGGGTAGATCTTGGTGGGAGGAGGCGTTCCGCCAAGTATCGAGGTCCTAAACCGTTTAGGGCTTTATATGCAAGCATCAACACTTTGAAGTTGATGCGGAAACGGATGCGGAAACTATTTGTACCAACTAATTGTTGGTACAAATAGTGAGGAACTCCAGGAATAGCCATCTGGAGATATGCACTTTACCCATCCCTGCTGTAGAGGTGAAGAGAGTGAGTTACAAACAGGAAGGCCTCAGTTTGATTCTCACTTCTCCTGTGAACTTAAGAGATCATCTTAGATTTCCCTCAGCATCAGTACCTTATCAGAATGGTAGGAGATAGTTGTCTTACAAGGCTGTTTGTGATAAGGAGTACTATTTTAGGTTATCTAGTTAATACAATTCTATTTTGCTTGTAGGTGGCAGTCTAGCTGATGCCATAAGTGAAAACTATAGGAATATGCGTTACTTCAGTGAACCAGAATTGAAAGATTTACTACTTCAAGTTGCTCGTGGTTTAAAATATATCCATTCAATGTCACTGGTACATATGGACATAAAGCCAAGTAAGTATTCAGAGGTCTTGTATTTTTTGCACTGAGAGTGGTTACTGAGGTGATTAAATAGGTGGTAGCAAAATATGCAGTAAACCACACCCTAGTAACTGAAACTTTTTGAGCTGAGTACAGAATACAATGAAAGAAAATATTTCTGAAACATTGCAAGCCAACTGCTGTTGAATTTGTTTGTGGCCTTTTGGGGATGGGGTGGGACGGATTATAATTATTTGCTTTAAATTTTGGCGTCCTTCCAATTACTTAGGAGAATGTGGGAGGTGAAAATCCTGGTAGTCCTGAAGCTAGAGTACATTTTTAACATAGATTTCTATATACTTGGCAGGCAATATCTTTATATCTAGGACCTCAATTCCAGACACTATATCTGAAGAAGGTGATGACGATGAGTCTAGCAGAGTTGTGTTCAAAATTGGTAAGAAAGCATGGAATTACATCTATCGATGCAACTTGCTTGTTTTTTTAAGAAAAATAATTTATTTATTTTATTCATTTATTTAAAATATTTTACCCCATCTTTCTCCTTAAGAATATACAGTAGTGGTTTACATCATTAAAAGTCAATATTTAAAGCTAAGAACAATGAATGTAAAGAGGCAGCTTACATCATTAAAATACAGTTTCGACACTGAAATAATACGTATACAAATGTTAAAAAAGAACAAACAAAATGCCATCCTGAGAGATAATCCTTAGCTGTTTATTTTAATCTAGGTGATCTTGGTCATGTCACTAGAATATCCAGTCCTCAAGTGGAGGAAGGGGACAGTCGCTTTCTTGCCAATGAAGTTTTACAAGAGGTACGCAGTATGCTTTGTTCATTGAGGCAAAATAATTCACTTTGGATATGTTTACTGGAGTTTGGATTCCAAGCAATTGTTTTGTGAATGGAAGAGTTTCCTTTAAAACGAGGAAGGCTGTGCTTATACAAGTACCCCTTTCCTCCCTCAAACAGAACATAAGGTTAGGCTTCAAGTCTGAGAGTCTGACTTGGTGGTGTTCTGGATTAGAAATTAAACCTTTCTTTCTTTTTCAGAACTATAACTACTTGCCAAAAGCAGATATTTTTGCTCTTGCACTAACTGTGGTGTGTGCTGCTGGTGCCGAACCACTGCCAGCCAATGGGGATCAGTGGCATGAAATTCGACAAGGAAAACTACCTAGAATTCCACAAGTCTTATCTCAAGAGTTCTTAGATTTATTAAAAGTAAGACATTTTATTGCTGTCAGGGACAGCACAGTCCTACTTATTTATCCTTTTAACCTTTGATGTGGTTGTGGGTTGGATATTCAGCTTTATCTTAAAGTCATCATTCTGTTTCAGATGATGATAAACCCCGATCCAGAGAAAAGACCCTCAGCAGTTGCTCTTGTCAAGCATTCTGCGCTGTTATCTACTGCCAGAAAGAGTGCTGAGCAGCTACGAATAGAACTGAATGCGGAGAAGTTCAAAAACTCTTTGTTGCAAAAGTAAGTCATGTTATGCCAGCTCTGATTCTGAAATATTGGAAAGTGGTTTTAACGGTCATGTAACTAAATCTATTGGTCTGCTTTTAAAAATAAAAGTTATGCTAGAGTACACACACGTAACAACAACAGATTGAAAGAGTTTGTAATATTTGCATCCATTGATTAGTGTTGAAGATTTTAAGTAGTACTGTTGAATACATTTTTCTTTCAAGTGGTGTTACTTTTCTACCAACAGGCAAAAAAATGGATCTGAAGCTTTGGTTTCCTATAGATTTTTGGTTTAGATTGGCAAAAATGAGATTTAAATACAAAGAGATGCATACATCAATATGAATGTGACATATCCTTTTGGAAACTATGTGCGGCCAACAGATGCATAGTCTGTGTGATCTTCCAGTGCTGATTCCTTCTTTGCACAAGGCCATAAACACTCTACAGAGGATATGCAAGTCCGTGGCTCCCCCATGCAAGCATGCCACACACACCCGAACCGGTTGGGAAAAGGTTGGGGACCAGTGCTCTAGAAGACAGCTGGATATTCAGGGCATCACCTCTGAATCTTCCCTGTCAGCTAAATATATGACCTGAAAACTACTGCTTGTGCACAATTTTGTGTAGCTGGAGTTACATCTTGAGCATTTGTACAAGGAGGAGTACTTGAGAAGCAGTAGCAAATTAATTTGGCTTTATTAAAATGTTGCTTGGAAACCACAGAATTTATCAGCAGTAGGATTGAACTTGACTAATATTAATCTATGAAATAATAACACGTTAAGAGAAAAAAAAAGATTCCTCTGAGCAGGGCTTGAAAAATGCACTCATCCACTTGTTTGTGATTGAAAAAACGCTGCTTGACGAGCCACAGCTCCTTACCTTCCGCCCGTCTCTCTCTCTCTCTGATCCTGCAGTCCTCCCCTTCCCCCCTCCCATTGCAAAAGGAAAACAGCCCTCTTCTCGGGAGAAGAGAGTTTGAGTGGAACATAGATATATAGCTCTACAGGAGAATGTAGAGTAGTCCCATGCTGGAGAAAATATGGGTTAAGAGGCCAGGTGCTTTTGCTTTCAGTTTTATTTTTGCTGGAGACATTCAAAAGAAAGGCATTCAAAATACAAGCTTCATGGACTCACAGGCATGCAGGAAATAAAGCAACCCAAGTCTGAGGGTATATTTATTTTGCGTTTCTATGCATTTTCATGTAGAAATAAAAGTGAACATGTGCCTAGTTTAAATTTAACATAAATTGCAATGCTATAGTCTGGTCATGGTGACTGGTGAAATTTTGACTGTCTGGTGAGACATACTAAAAAATTTTCAAGCCCTGCCTACGTGTCTTGGGAGAAAGTAAAAAACATGATGTATTAGAACAGGCTTACTGAGGGTATCTGTTGGACTATGCTGTTAGTTCTATAAACTGAGAATCAAAGTTGTAGATAACCCCTTTTTATTGTGGGAAAAACATGTATAGCTATGGGATCAGGATGTGAAAGTACAATAACAGAGCAGTCAGTGCCTCTTACAGTATACCTACATTTTAGCAGAAATGAGTTGTTAAAACTGTTTTTTATTTAATCTATAGCATGCAAAGTTAAAATGCCATGGGTGATTCTCCCAAAAGTTGTTTGTAGATGTGTGACCATAAGTCCAGTGACTAGATCCTAAATTCTTCTTTTTAGTCTCTTTGGGATGCAACTGTTTTTAATTATCTTATATGCAAGAGAAATAATGCATTATTTCCCCCTTCTAGGGAACTGAAGAAAGCACAGATGGCAAAGGCAGCAGCTGAAGAGCGAGCACAGATTACTGATCGCATGACAACTAGATCTACAGTACAGAACAGAACAGCTCGTCTTAGTGGAAAGAAAATGAATCGTTCAGTTAGCCTTACAATATACTGACTTGTCCATTCCATTAAACTGGAGAAGGAAGGAGATTGAATACTGGTGGACTAAATAAATAGTTGAAGAAAGAATCCTTTCTTCATTTTTTCCTTTAATCACTGTCAATGGTTTCATAAAAGAGCTGTTCACCATTCTAATTTTGCCAAATGCAATTAAATAGCTGTTTTGTTCTATGCCCAGAAGAATCTAGGATGTCAACTTACCTTTCAGATATATTGTATATTACACCATCCAGAACTAACCACTAGAAGGTGGTATGCTGCTTTTTAGTTTTAATACATTGTTAATGAAAGGTACTTCCCTAGTAGTCTTAAAGGGCCTTTTTGTTTTTCGTAAACAGCTCTATTTGGAATGGAGGAAAGAAATGCTGTGGATATCCTAAAAGGCCAGCAGGTCAAACCATACCTGGTGTCAGGTAAACGATTGTGAATTTTACTTGTGTATTCAACTGGGAGCACTTTGTTAGGCATTGCTTAGATCACAGGAATAAGCCTGTGAAAACATGCCACGTGAAACTGCTGCTATTTTTAGTTTGTCCTTGCTGTAAAAGTGTAGCATTAAAACAATCATTGTGTTTAGCAGGCTTTCTTTGAAAAATAGAAAAAATTATGTGAAAAATATTAGCTGCCTAGGTCCTTCTCTGAACCTAGTGTACTGTGTACAGTCATTTTTATATTTGAATTACATTATTAGTGTAAATGTTTTGGTTCTATTTTGTAATTCTTTCTAATGAAAGTTCTCAAAAGTTAATTCCTGTCCCTTTTCCTCCTCTTCCTCTGTTAATATTTGAATGTGCCTGTTTGCATATTTTAGTACTTGTATATAAATGTACTGTTTTACCATGTTTCAGAAAGAATGTGTTGAGCTGTTCTTACGATGTACAATATTGAAATGAGATGCCAAAAGATCCTATCCAAATTTATTTCAACATCAGTTACAAAATTAATATAATCAGCCCTTCTAATAATTGGTTCTGATATTGCCAAAATGGTTGCTAGCTACTACTGGCTTTTTGGCTTAAACCAATGTTTCCCACTTGAATGTTTCTCTTTGTTTTTAATTAGTATTGAAATGGAATATTAAAATGACATTTTGAAATTGTTGTATTTTTGTCAGTTTTGTTCCTCTGCTAAAGGGTTGTGGTTTTTGTCCATGAAAAACTTTTCCTATGTCAAGGTTGGGTCCATTGAAATAATTTTCATTTATCACCTCCATCTATTTGTTAAACACAAGCAGAGTAAATTTATTGAAAGATGTTCTTAGCCCAGAGATAGTGTCTGTAAAACCTATTGGATTCTACTCAGCATACATATTGAGAATACAGTGGGGTCTCTACTTAAGAACTTAATCCGTATTGGAAGGTGGTTCTCAAGTTGAAAAGTTCTTACGTTGAATCTGCATTTCCCATAGGAATGCATTGAAAACCATTTAATCTGTATCTGCTCTTTTCCATCCATAGAAACTACAATGGAACCTCTACTTAAGAACTTAATCCATTTTGGAATGGTGTTCTTAAGTTGAAACGTTCTTAAGTTGAAGCAAAATTTCCCATAGGAATAGACTGAAAACCAATTAATCCGTTCTGGCTGTTTTTTGTTATGTAGAGGTGTGTTCGTACATTGAAGCATTAGTTCCCATAGGAACTAATGCAAAGCTGGTTAATACGTACTCTACCACTAGGGGGAGAACTTTTTTTTAACCTAAGATGACCTAAGGTTAAAAAAAGAGCAGGAAAGGTTTTTTTTCCTGTTCTTATCTTGGATTTCTGTTCTTATCTTGGAATTCTGTTGTCAAGTAGAAGCAAAATTTAGCAAATGGAGCTGTTCTTAAGTTGGATTGTTCTTAAGTAGAGACGTTCTTAAGTAGAGACCCCACTGTAACTCCTGATCTCTATCTGGTAATAGTTCAAGATCAAGGGTGTTGTATATTTCATTCTGTCTGTACAAGCTCAATACTAGCTCTGCAATTTAATGCAAGTGTAATGCACTTCACAAACTCAAATCTGGATGCAAATTTATGTAACTTACCCATAGATAGAAGAAAATTTACATGAGTGTAGTACTTAATTAGGCAAAAGCTGTTGTGGGTATTCCTCACTGACAGCAGTGGCAAGCAGCAGGGATAGTGCTGCAGTGTTCTGAGTCCTTTTAAGAGCCAGCCTTCAAAATTCACCTGAGTTAAGAAGTCAAAGACAAATATATCAATATGTCTTTTCCTTTCTCTGTATATATACATGGCATAAAATAACCCTGGAAAGAATGAAGAGACACTGGCTAAAATTCTATTTTGCACAGCTATGCATGCAGCAAGGATACCAACTGTTATGTTCCCGCCTGTCCCTTGGTTATTTTACCAATCAAAGGGCACAAGCTATATGTCATGTTGCTGCCACCAGTTGATTACATCATCATTATGTATTATTATTAATAGAGGCCTAGGCAATGTGTCATTTTAAATAGAACCAAATAGAAGTTGTTTATCATTACAAGTGATGAAGGTACAATCAATGTATTTAACCCTTAACCAAGCATCCCACTTCATCCACCCTCAACCACCAACCCTTCTGTATCAACCCCTCAAATTCCAGCCTCTCCAACTCTTCAATCTAATCTCCTCCTCCAGAGAATTTTATATATTGTGACTCCACCTCTCCAACACTCTCATTGGTCCATGTAGATCGGACATTAATATTCATAACCTGGGCAGAAGCCACACTCCTCCCCCCTTAATAAGTTTGTGATAGGAGGGGAAATTTAAACAGTTTGCCCTCATAAAGAAACAAAAATTTCTGGAAGAATGCAAATACTACTGTATTTTTTTCATTTATAAGACGACCCCCCCTTTTCTAACCCCAAATTAGAAAATTTGACCACTACTTTTCCCTTCCTTTTGCTAAGCCACAGAGCATAGCAAAAAGGAAAAGCAGCGGTCAAAGGGCTGCATGATCACTCAGCCCGCAACCAGTGGCAGAGGTAGCAGGAGGCAGAGATGAAGGCAGGGAAGCCAGGCTCGACTGCCTCTTGCTGCTGCCCATTGAATTCCGCCGCGGCCCAATCACCCCCTTCACCGATTGTCTCCTTGCAATCGGGCGGTGGCAGCGGCAGTCAATGGGCAGCAACGAGAGGTGGCCGAGCGTGGCTGCTTCTTTGCCTCAGTCTCCGCCTCCTCCTGCTGCCTTCCATGTATAAAACAACCTTCAATTTTTCCTCTTAATTGTTTTAGGAAAAAGTATCATTTTATTCATGGAAAAATATAGTAACCACTTAGATTACTAAGGATACATTACTTACATTAATAAGGATTACCTTACATTACTACACATAACTTATTATTTTTACCATGACCATACATACCTCTCTGTTCATTAATATTCAGGCAAATTCTGTACTTTTAAGCATATTCCATAGCTATTACACAAACAGAACAGTTACTATTGAACTCAGATAAAAATACTTTTCTCTAGTCATTCGGCCTTCAAGACAAGGTGTCAGCAACCACATTCTGGGTCCCTTTTACGCTGCAGATTTCAAAGTCTTGTAGAATCGGCGCCCATCTCATCAATTTGCTGTTGCTGGCTCGAATAGTCTTTAGCCATAGAAGAGGAGAGTGGTCAGTGCACAGGACAACTCTCCTCCAAATGTACAGCTTCAGCTTTTGCAGCATCTATATGATAGCTAGACACTCTTTCTCAATGGTAGATAAATGTTTTTCACCAGGTTGGAGTTTCTTGCTAAAGTATGTTACATGATGTGGACCAGGGGTCAGGGAACTTTTTTACTTTTTACCCCCCAAAAAATTTATATACGCCGACATTACCCCCTTGATTTGAAAGGAAGGAAACCATACATTATTTGAATTAAAAATATTATTCAATCTACACAGGCTGTGTACTGAACTAGCAGGATGCACCAAATTTGATAAAGATGTGCACTATTTTTGCTGGAACACATTGCACTCCAGCCATGGTGTGGTATAGGGAGTAGTAAGGTGTCCAATGTGCCTAGCAAGTTGCATTAAATTTTTGCTAGCTTGCAGAGGATCATTAGTGGCTGCCAGAGTGGTGCTAGCAATGACATGCTTGTTAGAGACAGCCAATGCAGAATTGGGGGGGGGGCTTTCCCTACCACTTTAATCATTCTATGTGTGGTGTGCGAAAAGGAACAAACCAGGCTAAAGGTCATGTCACCCACCCTGGTGCCACAGCCCAGTATCAAAGGACCAGTGTGCTTTTTTTATCATCATCAATGGAAAACTCA